AAAATGATTACTCACAGGATGAAACCTATCATGGAAAATATTATATCTGACTCACAAAGTGCTTTTATACCTGATAGGCTTATTACAGATAATATATTAATAGCTGCAGAGGTAGGCCACTTTTTTTAATAGAAAGCAATGTGGGGCGGTAGGTTGGGGGCCCTAAAGTTTGATATGGTCAAAGCTTATGACTAAATGGAGTGGCCCTTTCTGCGAGGAATGCTTGTGGCTCTGGGTTTTGAAGATATGTGGGTCGAGCTAATTATGCTGTGTGTTTCTACTGTATCCTATAAGTTTCTGATTAATGGATCCAGGAGTAATCGGGTCACGCCCACGCATGGATTAAGACAGGGTGATCCCCTATTCCCCTATTTGTTTATTATCTGTGCGGAGGGACTTTCCTTGTTATTACAGCATGCACAGGATGATGTTTTGATTCATGGATGCAGGGTTGCTAGGGGGGCCCAGATCTCACACTTATTTTTTGCAGATGATAGCCTGTTGTTCTTCAAGGCTAATATGCAGGAAGCTACAGAGATTAAGAACTGTCTATCTATTTATGAGAATTTGTCAGGACAGGTGGTCAATTATAATAAATCCAATATATGCTACAGTAAGAATACATGTGAGAATAATAGGGAGGAAGTGGCACAGATTTTAGGAGTTGTCCGGGCTCCTAACTTCGGGAAATATCTGGGTTTGCCATCATTTGTTGGGAGAAATAAGAAAGCAGCTTTTGCGAATATCGAGGATAAAATCCGGCAGCGGATTGGGTCATGGAATAAGAAGCTACTGTCACAGGCAGGTAAAGAAATCCTATTGAAAAGTGTAGCTCAGGCTATGCCTACTTTTTCAATGTGAGTTTTTTTGCTACCTATATCTGTTTGCACAGCCATTGAACGGGTAATGAATCATTATTGGTGGGGATCCGGTACTGACCGGAACATTCACTAGAAAGCATGGGATAGATTGTGTATCCCAAAGAAATATGGAGGTCTGGTTTCAAAGATTTGAGAGCATTTAATTTAGCAATGCTAGGTAAGCAGGCGTGGAGGATGCTTACTAACACTTGCTCTTTAGTATCTCGTGTCTATAATGCAAGATATTATCCTAAGCAGACTTTCTCTGAAGCTAGAAAGCATGGGATAGATTGTGTATCCCAAAGAAATATGGAGGTATGGGTTTCAAAGATTTGAGAGCTTTTAATTTAGCAATGCTAGGTAAGCAGGCGTGGAGGATGCTTACTAACACTTGCTCTATCTCGTGTCTATAATGCAAGATATTATCCTAAGCAGACTTTCTCTGAAGCATGCTTAGGAAACAACCCAAGCTATTGTTGGCGTAGTATTATGGCAGCTAAAGATATGGTATGTGGTGGGGTGAGACGCAGTATTGGAAATGAAAATTCTACCTTAATATGGGAGCATCCGTGGCTGCAGGATGACTTGGGCCCTATGATCCGTACGGAGATGCCACCCCAGTTGGCAGGAGCTAAAGTGAGAGGATTGATTGATCAGGATACTAGGACATGGGACCCTCATATTGTAGCTGATATCTTTCAACCAAGTGATGTGCCTAGAATTTTAAAGATACCAGTTTCTCCAGATTATGATGATGTGTGGTACTGGCATGGGGACCTAAACGGATGCTACTCTGTAAAGAACGGTTATAAGCAAATTATTGGAAATTATACGAGTAGCAATAATGGGATTTTGATAAATGGCTTACCCTATAGAAGCTAAAAATTCTCCCGGAATGGAAGACATTTTTATGGAGAGCTATAAGTGATATTCTTCCCACTACCACCAATTTGCTTATAAAGAGGGTGGATGTTGATCCAACTTGTGCCCTGTGTTGAATCATGCAAGAGGACACTATGCACTCATTAGTAACGTGTGGTTATGCAAGTTCCATATGGACCCGATCTAACCTTCCAATCCCCAATATTGTGACAAATGTTTTTCATGAGTGGTTTAGTGCAATCTTAAATGTTCTAGACACTAATGGAATTATATATGCAGCTGCAATCCTATATCACATCTGGAGAGAACGAAAGGGAGCTGTTTGGGATGCCTGTTTACCGTTGCCCGGGAAGCTGATCACTATGACGGTTGCCAACATGGCGAGCCGTCCACACAACCGCCGTGACAAGGACCGACAACACTGCCGCAGCCGGTACCGCCGCCCTCCCACTGCTGCTGCCACCCGGAACTGCTACCTCGACGTCTACAGCTACGGGGATTACGGCTGCTGCACGATCGAAGAGGTGTTATGTGGACGCTGGATATCATCATTCCATAAATTCTGCCACGGTGGGTGCGGTTTTGCTCAACGAGGACGGAAGCTATGTGGCGGCATTCTGCGCCCCCTTACCAAATTGCTTATCTCCCCTCATGGCCGAAGCAGTTGCGTGCAAAGAAGCATTATCATGGTTACGAGCACGTGGTGAGCAGGCCATCCAACTTTACACAGATTGCCAAACGTTGAAGTGCTACATACCCTCACTAGGGACTCCGCCCCGATCATATATTGGATATGCTATTCATAGCTGCAAAGCTAGCATGTCTATTATTTTTACCTGCTTAGTTATTTTTGTTCCTAGATCGCAGAATTTATTAGCTCATACTTTAGCATCCGCAGCTTTTGATCAGACTACGGCAATGTATTGGGACTCTGTCCCTCCCGACTCTATTTCGGTTTATCTCTAATATAACCATATTGGTTTGCTTTCAAATATATATATATATATATATATATATATATATATATATATATATATATATATATATATATATATATATATATATATATATATATATATATATATATGATAATTTTACAAACTTATAACACATCAAGGGAAAATTATTTTGTGGATCCGGGTTCACATTGCATGGTGGACCCGAGTAAAAATGTTCACAATTTACATACTAAATGTTCACAACTTATATTTTAAAAATTCACAATTTGTATACTACGAACACATAATGTTAACATATATGTAATTGATTACCTTGTTTTGTATTCACAAGTTTCTTTCAAATACTGCTGTCACACAATATTAACATTTATAGGATTTGATGACTCTGTATTGTATTCACAATTGTTGTTGTTCCCAAACTTCACCCATGTGACCAACTAAGCTACCCATGCAGACATGTATTGTATTCACAAATTCCCTTCTACAGATGTTATGTGTTTTGATTTAGAAATACAATTTATATTCTAGAAGTTTACAATTCTAATACTAAAAATACATAATTTATACATCGTTTAGGACTATAGTCCAATCGTTATACCCTACACCACGGCGCGCGTAGCACTGTGCGCGCCGCGCCTCCCAAAACGACGTCGTTTTGGGAGGCGCGGTAGGAAGTTGCTGTGATTATGTATATTTGTTCATACGATTATGTATATTTGTTCATACAATTATGTACACTTTTTTTATACAATTATGTACATCCGAATCAGGAAATTTTTGTGTATTATGTTAAGAGTTGATGTGTATTAGGTTAAAAGTTTATGTTTATTATGTATTATGTTAGATTATGTGTATTTCTTTTAAAAAACAGTATGTATATTTTGTTGTACAATTATGTACATTCATGTATACAATTATGTACATTCATGTATAACATTATGTACATTTTTGAACATGGGTTTTTTTTAAAGAAAAATTAACTGCCAAACACTGAGGCGGGAAATTTCAAAAAAAAAATAAAAAATTGAAACGACGTCGTTTTGCATCTGGGCGCACAATGCAACGCGCGCCGTAGTGTAGGATATATATTGCCACTATAGTCCACCTTGCAACCTGGTCCATGGTATAACAACCCCATATCAAGATGATGGATTAGTTGAGAAATGGCTCTAGCCCATGTGGAAAAGCCAACCTAGGCCCAAATGTTGAGTCCAATCTAAGAATTAGAGAACCAAAGACACCGGCCTAAAACTAACTTTCGCAGTTGTTATATTATAGACCGCGGTGCATAATCGATTATGCACCGCGGCCCATATACGACGCCGTTTTTTTAAGTAAAGAAACGGCCCGCCGTTAGAGTTAACGGAGTCCGTTTGTTTGGTGTATTAAACACCAACTGACACTACAGTATATCCAAACCGACACTGCAGTTATATCAAAATGATACTGTAGTTATAGTGAAATGAAACTGCAGTGTATATAAACTGAAACTGAATAATATTTCACATATTTGAGTGTATATTGTACAATGAAGCTGTAATTATATCAAAATGATCATGTAGTTGTGTTTTAATAAAACTATAGTGTATATAAAATAAAATAAAATAACATTTTCACATATTTGAGTCTATAAATATCGAATGAAACTATAGTTATATCAAAATGAAACTGTAGTTGTGTTCAACTGAAACTGCAGTGTATACAAAATGACACTGAATAACAGTTACTTTTTGTAAAAGGGTGCGAAACGGCAAAAATAAACACTGTTAATTTTCATTTAAAAAAAAGACGCGCGGTGCATAATATAATTTGCCTAACTTTCGTATCTAACAAGATGAGATTAATCCGTTAAATCTCAATCCTATTCCTATTACAAGTTTACTCTCGAGAGGGTTAAAAGTGAAAGAATAATAGCGATCAAATGAATGAAGCATAATTCTCAAATTTTGATTCTTGTCAATGCCTTTTTAGTCACACATGATCTTCTTAGTACAATTTACATCACCTATGTAATTTACGAGCTATTATAAAGCAACGTAGTTTACTTATTACACATTCTCGAATAACAGTGGTAAATTTCTCTCGTCACCCAAAATAGTAGAATACTAGTATTAGTAAAAGAAACTAACAAACATAAATATTAAAATTATTCTTAATTTCAGAGGTTATGTTACAAAGCAGAAGCTTAAAATATGAAATTAACATATTTCTTTTTAAAAAAAGTCAATGTTTACTTACGAAAAGTTCAAAAGAAATTTCCCACAAAAAAAAAAAAAAAAAAAAAAAAAAAAGTTCAAAAGAAAGAAAAAATAGTAAAATTTTACTTCTTAGGTCTCTTAGCTCTTGAATCCCTCTATAAAGTTGAAATTCAAACAAGTACATATACTACATTTTCTTTTATTTTCAAAGGTAAAATTTCCGGACTTAGACCCGACTACTTTTGGTAAGTGTATACTTTTTTTTTTAAACCACGAGTTGTTTCAGGTCTTTCTCCGTCCATATGGTCCAGGTCCACCTGACTAATCTCCGTTCGTTCCAGGAGGCATGAGAGCTGACTCAAAGGGAATTGTCACCTGTGGGTATCGCGCGGGTTATCCTTAGGATCGTCACCACAAAGAAGCTCATTTGCGACCTGAGCTACCTTTTGGGTTTTTGGCAAGTGTACTAAACTTGTAACACATATGAAGTAACTCTTACATAGGTTTCTTCAGCTTGTTTGCGTTCACTGTTAAATTGGTTCTCCTCCCAAGTTGTCTGGAATCTACGGGCTTAGACCCAACAGATTCTCTCATCAAAGATTGCTGATAGTATCTGAATGCCACATACAACATGAAAACTGCATTGCAGGAATACATTAATTTAACAAACCCATGAAATTTTAGATTTCTAAGTAATTTTTTTTGGCAATCTTTTACCTGCCCAAATTCGAGCAATGGCCGAAGATAAATTCCATGCCAGCGTGAAGATGCCAAATGCAATGGCTTTCTTATGAGTGCACGATTCCCATGAGTTTTTTAAGCGCCGAATCCAAAGTGTACCTATACAGAAATCACGTTTCATTTCAATATTTTAGGGGAAAAAAAAAAATTTGAGACTTGTCGTTCTAATTGCATACTTTTTGGAACATTTCATCATCCCTTGAACAAAAGAAGGAAACCAGGCCGGCCAAATTACTACTCATGAATGAAAGGGTCCATTTCTTGTTCACAATAATCAGCATTGGATACTTTAGAATCATCAATCATAAGATAACAAATTAGTAAAACAAAAATTTGAGGAAAAAGGGAAAAGTATGTCCAAGAATAAAAAAGATAATAAATTTTGAACTTTTTGAAAGGAAATATCTTCTCCTTCTGTCTCTCTTTATTGTTTGTGGAATTTTGGGGACCTTTAAATATAGTTTGATGAAAAATAAATAAAAGATTCATTTATGTGGGGACCATTAAAAGATACTATTACAAGAAGCAAAAACATTTGTTTCAAGAAATTTCAAGACTAAAGCTTTACGAAAAAAAAAAAAAAAAAAAGTGTCACTCTCAGAAATTCCTTTGCCCCAAGGGCCTCAACACCCCGGCTTGACAGGATGGTAGAGGGGTAAATCACAGCGACTCAGTGGCCTCTTAGGTAGGAGGACCGGGGCCATTCTCAAAAATTCTAGGTTAGGAGAAAGAAGTACTGAGCCATTGAAAGTATCGTATCATGTCAGCAAGTCACCATGTGAGGAATTTCATATACTAGCAGTAAAAAAAAAAAGTAAAGGGATTAAAGGGGAGTATAGAATTTTACCAAATGCAGTTAACTGAGAGGAGTAGGAAGAGCAGACTTTTGGGACAATGAAAACGCCAAAAAAGCCTACACAAAGTCACAAACACAAGCCATTTGTGTCAGCAAATGATTCTTGGTGAGTTCAATATACCAAAGAAAGTTCAGACACTAGGAAAATTTACCCATTCATGTACTTTTTACACTGCATTTCACCGACAAAAGAACAAAGTTTTTTCAAGTAAAATGAGTAACACGAAATAATCTTTATCTTCCCATGGAATTCACATTCTTCGCACTCAACTCATAGTAAAAAACACTTACCCAATTTAGCCATTTTCCATACGGTTATGGAGCTGCCACATTGTGCCAAAATAAAGAGCAGCACTGCCATCTGCAAATGGAAAAAGTTTTGTTGAATTCTAATAAAGGTTTCAAAATGGTGAAACAAAAGGGAGCTCAATTATTGAAGATTTGAAGTTATAACGAGGTAAAAGTTCCAAAAACATGAAAAAAGAAACAACTTTACCTTCATTGTTGTTGCAGGGTCTCCAGAGAATAAGGCTCTGATATTCAAGAGGAACTCGTTTATGCAAGGGAGTACGAATTTTACTACCCGGACTGCTTCATCTTCTCCAACAACATAATCACTTGTCTCGCCTACTTGTATGGTTCCCCTATTTAATTTTTTTTATTTAATATAAGATATAGAAATATAAAGTTAGAGAACTAAATGGGATGGAAAGGCTACAAAACAGTAAACTTTGTTTTATCAAATTACCTGTGAAAAAAGGATCTGAATGTGAAAATTACAGCAAGATATACTAGACCCATGTATGAAAGCACAGAAGTCATGCTGTGAAAGTTAAACCGAAGAAAGTTAGCTACTGAGCCTTGAACTTTCTTTTCTTTTTTAGTTTCCATAAGAAAAAAGCTCTCATTTTTTTATGGGTGAAAGATTCAAACCTCACATTAAAGTCTTGAACATATGAAGATGAAATAATCAGAAATGTTCCAACACCAAACACAAATGCTGATTTTGTTATATCTCTCCACAACACTAAATCAGCTGAAATATTTTCAAAAACCGGGATAACAAATCAGACCTAAAAATATGAAATTTTGTACATTGTAGCAACTTTTTGAACTCAAATAACTCAGTCCAAAAAAATTGATAACTTACCATAGCTCTGCAGTCTGCTGTGAGGTCTATGAGTTTTATGGGATTCCTCTGATGCTGGAACTGAGAAGCACCAAAATAACATAATTAAAATCCCAAGTTGTGAATATATTAAATCAAAATAATTAAAATTGTTGGTTTTTTATATTATCATTATTTTCAAAGAATCATCATTCAGATCCCAACTGTGGTAACCTGGTTTGGTTCTTGATGGAGTGGGGTGAATTCTGGCATGGCCTGTGATTTGGGAAGGCTGTTTCTTCTCTATTGGTGAGATGGGCACAACTCTTGTATTGCTATGATGAAGCTTCTTCTCTACTGTCACAATGTTTTTAGGCTTTTCTTTTTCTGATGATGCACTGATTTCCTTAACAACATTCTTATTCTCAACCTTAATCTCAGGTTTCTCTTCAGCTTCTTCCCATTGGTCTCTATCAGAATCATCCCCTTCCACTTTAGGTGTAGATTTGACCAGATCAATGGCCACTTTTGGTTCTTTAGAATTCTCATCAGATTTTGTTTTCTGAACCTCAGTTGGTTTTTTCTCATTATTGGGCAAACACTCTTTAAGCTTATTTTTGGACTCATCAACAACCTTATTTCCCTCAGATTTTGACTCCTCCCCTTGAACAACCTTATTTTCATAAAATGTTGCATTCTTTGGTTCATCTACACCCTCACAACTCTTCACATTCTCATCAAAATCCTTGCTTGATGCTGAATCTGTGTTTAGTGGATGAAGAGAAAGTGTGTTTTCAGATTTAACCCTCTTCACTTGAGAATTCTTCTCAGTTCCACTGTCATTCAACAAGGACTTCACTTTCTGTTTCTGCAGCCCAGATCTTGACTTTAGTTTCTCAGATGAGCTTCTTTCAATCCCCTCTTGGGATCTTGATTTCTTGCTCTGAATTGGATTTTTCACACCCAATTCCTTGAACTTCTCCTCATCAAAACTCTTGGTGAGATCAGATCTTGTTGATTTCCTGGCAATCTGGATTGGGGCTCCCTCAAAGCTCTCAGCTTTCCAAGTCTTCCTCTTCCCACTTGCTCCAACAGGGCTGGGTTTTGGGCCCACACTGGATTTCCCATCTTCTTCATGGACACCATCATTGCTAGGGGGAGAAAAGGCAGCATTTTGGCCATCAATTTCTTGTGGGTTTTCAGATTCTTCTTCAGTTTGGGAAGTGTTGATAAGGGCTTTTATCCCACCTTTGACTTCATCAAGTCTAATCCTGCTCTCCCAAACAGAGCCTGACGGCACCACACCCTTTCTTCTCCCCCCATCCATTTATTAGCTTCTCTCTCTGTTTGAGTGGAAGATTGCAATGATTAGTAGAAGAATGGAAGTCTATGGGGCTCACAGCTCACTGGTTAATGATGGATTTTTGAGGGTTTCATCAGCTCAAGATTTTTCACTTGAGTACTTGATAGCCAGGAAGCATACATGATACATGCATTGGGATCTGCAAAGAGAGAGAATGAGTGGGGGACTGGGGAGCGACGAGGTGGAAGACATGTAAATTTGGTCGCTTTTTCTTTTCTACTTTTCAATTATTATAAAATCTAATGCAAACTTTACTATAAAATCTAGACCCACCACCGACCAATGTTCGAATTTACTATGATAGGAAGTAGGGACTACAAATTACAAATTGTGTTTACCTCTTCTTATGTTAAATATTATATAAAGTGATCAAATTTATTTAATGTACATATTAAATAATAGAAATTGAATTTACTCAATTGAGATTGCAATTTACCTTATTTTATATAGTATGTGAATTATTATATAAGATATAGTAAAATTCACCTAGATACATAATAGTGTAAATACAGAGTTTTGAAATTAATAAAACAAGTAAAAGATATTATTGATTATATGTTCGTAAAGTAATTAGTTAATTGTTATACAGAATGATGCTAATGTACTATAGATGATCGGGATTTAAGTAAAAAGCTGGTGATTGTCGATCTTTCTTCCCCCTTGGCCCCTTTTAAGTGCAATGTATGCTCTATATATAGAGGAGATTCCGAGACACGTGCTGATCCTTTAACATGCTTTTCACGTGGCTCACGTGCATTTGACGACAAGGGGCAATGAGTCATGTACCTTTATAAGTTTGACATGTTAACCAGACAATTAGCGTGCGTTGGGAGGTACTTTTCTTAGTTACTTCATCTCCTAATTGATCGGTCAAGATGGATACTTTCACCCTTTACACTTTCCGACCTTAAGGGACTTTACCAAAACAAAACAAAAACAAAAACAAAAACAAAACCAAACAAAAACAAAAAAAAAAAAAACAAAAAAAACAAAAAATCTAATTGTGCAAGTGGGAATTTTATGTTGCAACCCACTCAGGTCGAATATGACTAATGAGCGTAAATGACTCTTCATTCTACTCGGGATACAACATGCGATCTGTATTTCATATATATCAATACATATTTGGATAAGATAAACATAATTTGCCCAATTTGAATTTGTGATTTACCTTTCTTGTGTAGTCTATGAGCTATTACATAATAGGATCATAATTTATCCAATATACACATTTGAATAACATGATCAAATTTTACCCATATTGAGTTTACATTTTGCATCTATTATGTAGTTTATGAGTATTAGGACTATATTATTCATATTAGACTAGGACTATATTATTCATATTAGACTAGGACTATATTATTCGTGTTAGACTAGGATTCTATCTAGCATCTCTATATATTCGCTCCATGTACTCTCAAACATTATTATTGAATACAACACAATTATATTATCATCTGGTATCAGTTAGCTAGGGTTTTCTTTTCCAACATCCATGTCACCTCGCTTCGTAGCAGTAGCCGATGGCATCGAACCAAGATACACCGTATGAGAAGCGGTCCAGTCAACGACGTGGCATTGATGATCCGTGTCAAATTTGTAAAAGTTTCGGCTACATGGGAGCCAATTGTTTTTGGCGTTATGATGATCCGTGTCAAATTTGTAAATGTTTTGGTCACACGGGAGCCAATTGTTTTTGGCGCTATGATGATCCTTGTCAAATTTGTAAATGTTTTGGTCACACGGGAGCCAACTGTTTTCGGCGTTATTCAGGGGCTCCGGGTTTTCAGGCTAATGTAGCTGTCTTTGGTGATAATGGCGATTCCAACGATCCTCATCAGTGGTTCCCTGACACTGGTGCTACAAATTATGCTACATCTGATTCTTCTTTGATGACTTCTGCGACAAGTTATGATGGCCCGGAGACTCTGCGAGTCGGCAGTGGTACAGGTTTGCCTATTGTTAATGTTGGTTCCGCTTCGTTAGCTACTAATTCTAGGTCTTTTAAATTACATAATGTTTTACATGTCCCTGGTCTCTCTTCTTCTCTATTATCTGTCCAGCGTTTTGCAAAGGACAATAATGTTTTCTTTGAGTTTCATCCCCTTTGTTTCTATGTGAAAGACATTTTGACCAGGAAAGTTCTTTTTAAGGGACATGTGTCTGGGGGTCTCTACACATGGCCTGCGTTCTTCTCAGCTCCTATTGCGTTTGTTGCTGTGTGATCCTCGTACGTTTGGCACATGCGGTTGGGGCATCCTCATTCTCGAGTCTTACGTAAAATTTTAGCGTCTTCGTCTATTGGTACATTTAATTCTAGTGATCTTCCCAATGTCTGTTCCTCTTGTCAATTGGGAAAATCCTCTGGTTTTCCTTTGACTCGTGTCGAAACTACTAGTACACATCCTTTGGAATTAATTTATTCAGATATTTGGGATCCAGCGTCATTACTTTCTGCATCTGGCTATAAATATTTTGTGTTGTTTGTGGATGATTACACTCGTTATATATGGTATTATCCCATGCGTGCTAAATATGATTTATATGCTATATTTGATAAGTTTCGGTCACTCGTTGAACGTTCTTTTTCTCACAAGATTATTTCCTTTCAATCTGGTTTAGGGGGAGAATATAAAAAGTTTGGTTCCACTCTTGCTTCGCTGGGTATTCGCCACAGGCAATCCTGTGCGTATACTCACGAGCAAAATGGTCGAGTAGAACGCAGACATCGTCATGTTGTTGAGACAAGGTTGTCTTTAATGGCTCAAGCATTTGTCCCGTCTCGTTTTTAGGACTATGCTTTTGAAACTGCTGTGTATCTAATTAATAAAATGCCTACTCGTGTTCTGTCTGATGAGTCCTCTCACTTCCGTTTATCTCCTCCGTCCTACTCTTACTTGTGAGTGTTTGACTGTTTGTGCTTTCCTGTCCTACGTCCTTATAATCTCAATGAACTCCAGTTTTGTTCATCTCCCTGTGTCTTTCTAGGCTATCATCCGTCTTATCGTGGCTATCGTTGTTTGGACACTAACACTAACAAGGTTTTTATCTGTCGTCACGTGCGATTTGATGAGACTGTGTTTCCCTTTGTTTCTCCTATTGCCTCACAGGTTGCTACACCGCATTCCGAACCGTGGACTACTGCACCAATTGTGACGGGCCAAGGAAGTGATGTCTCGGCCACGGTTACTGATGGCGCTCGGCAGATTCACGAGCCCGTGGCGGCTTCTAGCGGTGATGCCGGTCACCATCACGAGCAGTCTGCATCGAGAGACCGGACTGTCTCGAACCAGCAGGTTGAGCAGCGCGGCAGGCCGCGCGGACGTCCTCGACGTGCTACTCCGCCTCCTCGGTCGCATAACATGAACACTCGCAGCTCCGGCCCACATCAACATGTTGCCTTAACCACTATTTCCACTATATTGCCGGAGCCTACCTGTTACTCTCAGGCGGTCAAGTTTCCTGAGTGGCGTGATGCAATGGACGCGGAGTTCAAGGCCTTGGTCCATAATCATACGTGGCGTCTCGTTCCATCTCAACCAGGTATGAATGTTGTTGGTTGCAAGTGGGTTTTCAGAACCAAACGGAAGGACGATGGTTCAATAGACCGTCATAAAGCAAGGTTAGTAGCCAAGGGTTTTAATCAGGTTGCTAGAGAGGACTTTTTTGAGACCTTTAGTCATGTGGTTAAGCTCACTACGGTTTTTCTTCTCTTATCTTTAGCTATATCTCGTGGGTGGTCTATTCGCCAGTTGGATATTCACAACGCCTTTTTAAATGGCGAGCTAGCTGAAACTGTTTACATGCGATAGCCACCTGGTTATGAGGATAAGTCGTTACCTAATCATGTATGTTTGCTTAAAAAATCTCTATACGGTCTCAAACAGACTCCACGTGCATGGTTCACAAGGCTACATGATTTTCTTGTCTCTGTGGGCTTCTCGCCTTCTAAAACGGATGTGTCTCTTTTTATCTATTCTTGTGACAATATTCTTCTTTATCTCTTGGGGTATGTTGATGACATTTTAATTATGGGTTTTGACTCAGATCGTGTTACTGCTCTTATTGATAAATTAGCACTTGAATTTAAGGTTCGTGATATGGTGTGCCTTCTTTCTTCTTGGGAATAGAAATTGTCCCGTTATCTGGCGGTATGCTTTTATCCCAACAACGGTCTATGAAGGATATTCTCAAACGTGCTGGCGTGGTGGACTGCAAGCAAGTAATCACGCCTGTCTCTTCTACGAAAATCACAGACGACGTGATCGTTCCTTATGTCGATCCAACACAATACAGGAGTCTTGTTGGTGCTCTCCAGTATATTACGGTAACTCGTCCGGATCTATCTTATGTTGTTAATCTCTTGTGTCAACATATGCATGCTCCCACTACTACAGACTGGGCCTCTCTAAAGAGAGTCCCGCGGTATGTCAAAGGCACCTTGAATCTTGGCCTGCGTATTTCTCAGTCTACATTTATGGATATTCACGCCTATTCTGACTCAGATTGGGCTGACGATCCGAATGATCACAAATCTACTAGTGGCTTTGTTGTGTTCTTGGGCAGTAATCTTATATCTTGGGTTTGTCGGAAGCAACAGACTGTGGCACGTTCTTCGACTGAAGCAGAATACAAGGGACTCGTTGATGTATCTGCAGAAGTTACATGGCTCGTTTCTCTGTTACACGAAATTGGCATCCCTCCCGCGTCTCCTCCTCGACTATGGTGTGATAATTTGGGAGCTACTTATTTATGTGCCAATACAGTGTTTCATGCCCGCACGAAGCACATTGAGATTGACTATCATTTTGTTCGCGATAAAGTAGCCAAAAAGGAGTTAGAAATGCACTTTATTTCAACCAAGGATCAACTAGCGGGATATTTTCACAAAGTCTCCGTCGTCTCTTCATTTTTAACTCTCTCCGTGACAAGCTCAATGTTTTGGCTAACACGCCCCCTCACGTGTGCGGTGGGTTCCAAACAACACGTGGACCGTAGTCGCTTATGGGTGACGTAGAGATTCAAACTCATGAACTTTGGTCTGGCTCTGATACCAAATTGAAGCATGTGCTCCATCTCAACTAAAAGCCTAAGCTGATAGTTGGATTGCACATTGCTCAACAATGGGCTATTACATAACAAGTGTTTTACCCAATATACACATTTTGATAGTAAGTGTTGATTTTTTATCGTCATGAAATAATATAAAT